CAAACGAAAGTTGTGGTGCGGAAAGGAGGTGGGAAGACGATACTTCAGCCTGCCAGGAAGAGTAGGAGATGACAGAAAATAAAGCCCAAATAATTGCATGCCCCTTCGAATAAAGTTGCTGAGCAAAATAATAACTTTAAAAGTCGGTAGATGGATTGCACGAAACGTCAGATCTATCTTATCCGCACGTTGGTAGCTTTGATGGGTTTAAGAACAACAATCTTGTATAAAGCATAAGTGGGGACAGAACTACTTATATGCTCTTCGTAGAGTCAATCTTGTAGATAAGATTTCTGATGGTTTTTATGAACTCCGAATAAGGATTTAAAAAATAGCAAACGTATAACTAGATGTCGCATTAATGTAAAAAATAAAGTACTGGTAAGTAAATGACATTATTTAGCAGGCAGAAAAATAACGTGTCGCTTCTGACAATGAAAGCAACATCGCAAAAGAAGAAGAAGACAATTAACAAATTAGATTTAATTGCGGAGGGAAAAAACACTCTTGTTTCCTATCACTATTAAAGTATTTTGGTGGACCCACCAGTCACGGCGAGGGGGAAGCTAGCGGGCGCGGTTTGAGCCGGAACATGCGTGACTGGCAGCCCCGCAACCGCGCTCCCCGCTCGCCTGCGCGCCCCTACCTGTGCGGGTGCGCAGAGATTTACGCGGCTAAGCGATCCCATTCCGTCTCCCCCGCCCCCACTACTGCAGTGGCCGTGGTTTTTCACAGCCCAACTTCAGCGAACGCATCATTACATTTTTTTTTTCCTCCCTCGACTCAAGAAGATTAATTAAAAGGTCCGTGGAAAACTTTGCGGTGTAATGGGGAGCGAGGGAGGAGGAAGGGGCCGGAGGAGACGCCTATCACTTCATAACTTTCCGCTCGCCTCCTGAGCCCGCTACGCTGACAGGGTTTCCCACTCAGGTCGTGTAGAAAGTTTCCCCCGGCGATGCGCGCTGTCGCCCGCGGTGGGTCCGGCGGTGCCTGCCGGAGCCGGGGCTCCGCAGCTCTTCCCCGGCGGGGGCAGCGGCTGCCCCGCTCCGCGCCGCCCGGCACTCGGCTCCGCAGCGCGGCCGGCTCTTTCTACCAGAGAAGAAGTGGGAAGGCGAGCGGCATAAGGGAAAAGAAAACCATAAAATGTATCAGTTGTAACCCTAGAATATGTTAATGTCAAGAGATACAAATCTGGTAATTATGCCTTTCTTGCCTGTTGTGTTCTCCATTGTTCATTAAACATTAAAGACGAGATTATTTAATTTTCCACTTAAAGATTCTCTCACGTTCCGCAAAATCATATTAATTTCCAATCATATTAATTTTACAAAGGACAAAGTTTTGGATTTATAACGCTGCCAATGAGCTGCCTTTTTTTTTTTTTTTCCTCACATCGCACTTTTAAAACGTTCTTCTAGAAATCGTCTGCTGCTGAGGGAACTACCAGGCACCGAGCAATAGAAAACGCCGAAGTTTTGCGGGGCGGATGGTGGGGGGTGGGGTGGGGAATGTTGCCTCAGCAACAGCAACAAATCTTTTCAAAAGATGACTGGATGAAAATTGACACATTTCAAGTACTACAGCAATTGTGAGGGGAAATGCCTGGAAGAGGTAAAAGTGCGTCCTCACTCATTCCGGGCAAATATCTCAGCCAAAGAGAGTACTAGCTAAGCCTCCTCACCTAAAAAAGTCGGGGAAAATGTCCCTCTGTTTTTGAAGGGGAAGACCTAACTCCAGCTCCCTACTGACGGCTGCGGTGCTGCGGGTTCCTTGAACGCCCGCAGATGCTCGCTTTCACCTGCACTCTGCCTACTGTCTAACGCAGCACATACACACACACATGCACAGTGTATTATTCGTGTGAGCCAGATGCAATAAATCCCTACTTCTGTCGGAAAAAAAAACCCCATTCTCAATTAATGGGCTCATCTCCTCCCTCTTCATATTAGAAAATTGCATCATATTTCAACCTTCACCGTTGTCTCCAGGTATTTTTAACGAAACACTCTTAGTGCGACCAAACTTTCAGCAAGGACGGATGCACGGGAAGAAGATGCACTAGAATTTATAGGCAGTAAACAAGTTTTTTAATTGTGAAGCAGGCAATCATTGCAAGGAGTGTCGTGTACACATCTCGCCAAACGATGGACGGAAAAGTACATTCGTCTAATACCAAAAAAGCATTGATCTGGCGTTTCAGTGTTCTTTCCCTGAGGGGTCGTGCCCGTTTCTAACGAATACCTGCCCCACAGAAGTCGCGGATGTCGTGCGTGTCAGCAAATTATCCGGAGTGGCCTAAACTGTCGCCTCTAACTTTATTTGGTTTGCCTACCAACATAAAAGCGGGGAATAAACCAAAAGCCCAGAGACAGGGTATCAGAGCTCACGAGATAAAGGGAGCTATCAGCAGGGAAAGTTTACACAGAGAAGGCTCCCAAAGAAGCCGGGGTTAGTGTGTTTTAAGGACTAGGGCTGGATTACACGGGCTGGGGTGGGAGTATTAGGAGGAAATCCCTTTCACTGATCCCCGGCCCCATGCGCGGAGCTGCCTGCCTCCCTCCCGCGGCCGGCAAGGTGGGCTGCGCCTCCGCGCCCCTGCGAGGGCCGGCGCCGGGACCGCTCCGCCAGCGCGGCACGGGGCGGGAGTCGGCGGGCCGGGCTGCAAAAAAAGACAAAAAAAAAAAAAGACAAAAAAAAAGACAAAAAAAGACAAAAAAAGGAAAACAAAACAAAACGGTAGAGGTGATCTCAGGACCCGCTGAAGGAGGCCCCCCGCCCCGAAAGCACACATGCACAGCGCGGCGCGGAGCCGAGCGACAGGACAGTGCGCACACTGCGGGCCCCTGCGCGGAGCGCCGCCGCGGCGATCGGCGACGGTGGGGTACATCCTAGCGGCGGCTGGCTGCCATGGAGCGGGCTGGCCGCGCTCCGCGCCCGCCCAGGCCGAGGGGGAGGCGGACAGGGACTGCCACGGGAAGCGGCAACTTGTGGCGGCGGCCGGGGAGACGGAGCTGCTGAGCGGCGGAGGGGCCGCCCGCCTCCCCGGGGGACGGACGGGGCGGGAGGGACGCGAGTCGGCGGGACGGGGCGGGGGAGGCTCGGCCCGGCTCCCCGGCAACTTGTAATGCGATAAGGGTGGAAAGCGGGGGGTGGGGGGGGAGGGAAGTCTCTCCCCACCCCCCCCTCCCCACTTTTACAAAAAAAAGGGGGGGCCTGGGAGAAAAGCCGCTGTTGGGAAAGTGCGTGCGGAGACGGAGGCTCGGCGGTGGCGAGGAGCGGATCGGGCTGCGGGGCTGGGGGCAGCCCCGGCGGCAGCCCCGGCAGCGCGGCACGGGAGGCGGAGGAGGAGGAGGAGAGTAGGAGGAGCTGCCGTGTGACCCGCTCCGCTCCCAAACTTGAAAGTTTATCTGCCCGAAATCAAGAGCGGCCGCGGTGCGCGCAGCGCTCCTCGGCACGGAGCGGAGGCAGCGACCGGCGGAGCCGCCGCGCAGGGAGCAGCTGGCGGCGCCGCTGAGAACGAGGCAAGGCAGGGGAGGGGGGATTACCCGGCGACAACAACAACAGCCACCCCCACCCCCCAAAACTGGGAGACGATCCATACTATTTGCTGGAGACCAAGGACTTGCTCATCGGCGCACACGCGAGCCCGCTGTCATTAGCTAACAGGACACACGGCTGAGCCGGGGGGGGTGGGTGGGCGGAAGGGTGAGGAGTGTCACAAAAAGTCATTACAACCTGAGAGAGAGAGGGAGAAAGAAAAAAAACTTCCTACCAATGGACAACAGGAAGTGACCACCACCACCAACGGGGAGTCTCTGCTTGGAGAAAGAAGCTGCAAGACAAAGAAGGAGGGAGAGGTGAAAGACAAAACTGCCCAAGGTCTTCTGCGTGTGCGTGCGTGCGCTTTCGAGAGCGGAGAGAACAAAAGTCAGCCGGGAAGGGGAAACAGAAAGAGCGACGGGAAAGGAGACAGGATGGAGGAAGAGCTAAAGAGAAGCATGTGAAGATCAAGGCGAAAGAGCACTACAACACCGAAAAGAAAAGGGAAAAAGAAAAGGCATACACAAAAGTTTCTTTTCTTCGTGGGAAGAAATTACTCACACACACACAGAAATCAGATGCTTTGCAGCTCAACTTCTGGGGAAAGCGAGATTGAGAGAGCAGAGGACGCAGAGTGATGTGAAGAAAGAAAAGGAAAAAAAGAAAAGAAAAAAAAAAAGCAGAGAGCAGAGCAAAAGAAACTGAGAGACGGGGGGGAAGAAAGCACGACAGACAGAAAAGCGAAGATCGTGACCTTTCCCAACAAGTGAACCTTGCACATATGTTGTGTAAAGTGTGTGCAAAACAGATTCCCTCCTGCGTGGTGCGTGTGTGCTTCGCTGCTGCTGCTGCCGCCGCTGCTGCCGCTGCCGCCGCCACCGACGCGGTCGGTGCCTCTCGCAGGCGGCGCTGCCGGTGCCGGGGAGACGCATCATTTGGCGGAGCGAAGCGGCTAATTGCGGAGCCCCGTCCTTCATTTACATATGCAGCCTGAGTCCGCTGGAGCCGCGCCAATCCGCGCTCGCCCCCAGCACCATTAATCGCCATGCATTATTCACAATCATAATTACAGAGCCCCATGCGCGCTGCGCGCAGCCGCCCCAGCCCGCCGCCCCGCGCACACCCCGCCGCCCCGCGCACACCCCGCCCGGCTCATCCCCCGCTCGCTCACCCGCTCACCCGCGCACTCACTCACTCACTCACTCACTCCCAGTTTGGCTGGCTGGTTAGCCTTGCCGTTTTGTTTGTTTTTTTTTTTTTTTTTTTTTCTTTCCCGGTGTGTTGTTTGCCTTTTCTGTTGTTTGTTTGGTTTGTTTTGCAACTCGACTTTTATTTGTGAACAGTTATTTCCAGCCCCCAACCCCCCTTCTTTCGTTCCCAATTCCTTCCCCCCCTCCTTGCCACCTCCACGTCGCTGATGCCTCTGCAAAAAACAGAGTCAAGACGGCTCAGTTAGCAGCATGTCTCGTCGAAAGCAAGCGAAACCCCAGCATCTCAAATCGGACGAAGAGCTGCAAGCAGAGGTAGTTTCTGAGCACGGTAAGGGCTCCCGGCGCCTCTTTCTCCTTCTCTCTCTCTTTTTGCGAGTGTGTTTCGGATGGAGATAGGTGAATTTATGGTGATGGTGAACATGGGAGCGCAATTACTCTGCAGCGGGAGAATGGGAATTAGAGCAGCCGGGGGAAGAGGCAGCAGAACTGAGAAGTTCGCAGTTTAGCCAAGTTTCTGCAGCCCACCCCCTGCTTAACCAGCCCTCCCAGCAGCAACCTCCCGGCCTCCCCAGCGCTTTGATCGCGGCCGGGCTCGGCGGCGGGGCTCGGCCCTCCCTCCCCACTCACCCGGGCTCGAGCAGCTGCAGGAACGGGCGCCCCGGAGCAGCGCCTGCCTTCACCTCCTCCTCCTCCTCTCCGCTGCGCTGCTTCTCTCTGTGTTATTGGGTACTCCCTTTTTCCCCCTCCTGCTCCCTCCCGGCGGAGGCTCGGAGCAGACAGAAGCCATGCTCCCCTCGCCCCACCGGCGGCAGGAAAGTTGGGGCGGCGGGGGCCGGGGTGCCGTGCCCGGGCCCGAGGGAGGTCCCGTGGGCTGCCGGGCCCCGGGGCAGCCCCGCGGCGGCCGCTGCCTGGGGATGTCCCCGCGGCCCCGGGTGGCCCGCGCAGGCTGCGGGGGCTGCCCCGGCCGCTCCCCGCGTTCGCCCCGGGGGACCGGGGGGGACCGTGGCAGGAGCGGGCAGGGCCGCTCGGGTGAGCGGGGCCAGCGGAGTTGGTTTCATTATTTTCGAGAGGATTGAACAGCAGCTTTTAGCCTTCCCCCCTGCGCTGCCTTCCCCCCTTCGCCTCCCGGCTCTGCTGCGACTGTAATTATTATCAGTGGTAGGTGACACGGAGTGCCACCACCGCCACCAGCCCCTGTCGCGCCGGCTGTAGGCAGTGGGGAAGGGTTATTTTCTCGCCCATCCGCCATTCCTCGCTTCCTCCCCACACGCAGGCACACGCACACTTGCTTTTATGCATCTGGGCTGCCAGGCTGCTAGTGAACAAGTGTCCAAAGCTGGAGAGATTTGGACTGTAATCCTGCTTTATTTCCACTTTGCTGTAATTTTCTTTTCGGGAATAAGGGCTGCAGGATTTTCTTCCCTTTTCCTTTTATTTTTTTTTTTAATTAGTTTTAATTTCCTTAGTAGTCCCTGGCACTGCAGCGTGCAAAGGCACATCGCAGCCCATGCTCTCTTCTCCTGGACTAAGTTGAGAGCCTCTACTTGAAAGTTTTTCTTTTCCTCTTTGCTTAGAGCCCACTGCTTTCTCAGATTCTCACATAAGCAAGCAGGATGCCCAATGTTTTCGGCTTTCTGCGTAGGCCCCTTGCTCCACTATATTATCTCCTCTCCCTCCATTCGAAAAGGAAAACAAGAAAGTCCTTTTCTTGCTTTAAAATTATAATTACTCTTACGTTGCATCTGTGAGGAAAGAAAGGTAGCAAAGTTGAAGCCTGAGGAGGATTTTGACTATTGTATCTGAACTTTACAGCCCTGAAGCTTAAGGCAGCGTGAATCCACTTCATCAGGTTAAAACATCTGTCAGACTGGCAAATTGTTAAGCCTCCTGCTCCTTCCCAGGGTGTTTGGGGAGACAGGGAGCAAGTCCCACACTGTCCAGAGCTGCTAAGGGGGCTCCTGCCACTGCTCCATGAAAACCCATTTGGGTGTTGACAATAACAGGCACACAGAGAAATGCTTCCTTCTGTCACAGTGGAGGAGCAAAGGATGCATTTTCAATTTTTTTTTCCTTAGGAAACTGTGGTCGTGTAAAATAAATTAATATAGAGCAAGCAGATAAGAATTAGTATTTTATTATGAAAGCAAGATTAGTTGAGCCCATCTCTGTTGGGTTGGGCTCTAGGTCTAAGAATTTATCATTAGCATTATAAACTTTTACATGCTCTGAATCCGTTTCAATACAGGAAAATAAAACCCCAGTACTTCATTATGACACTCCTGGTGAGTTAATAAATTGAAAAAAATTGTTAAACTAGGTTTTTGTTTTGTTTTGTGAATCTTATCTATGTAGCCATGTCACCCGAGATTAGAACAAGAGATATGCTAAAAAGAAACGCTTGCATATGGTGGGTAGATTAAGGACAAAGAATCTTTTTGTCATGGAAATGTTTTTTTTTTTCCCCTTTTTGGGGGGGTTTTGTTTTGTTTACTTCATCACATAGAATTTCTCACACTTGGTTTGTTTTGTATTGCCCTCAATGACTACATGATCAAATGAATGGATTTATTTCTGCCGAATGAGAAAGACAGTCTTTCCATCAAAAGGACTACATTGCATCCCAGTGAGGAATTTTAAAGCGTTATTATTGTGGTCCCTGAATAGCACAAAATCGGCTTTCACAGCAGCCCTAAAATGCAACAATGTAAAAATACTTTTCAGCCTTAGAAGGCTGTTATCAAAATGTATGTTTCCTTTTATTAAAGCATATTTTAATTAATAGAGTGAAACTCTTGATAGTTAACAATTAACAAGCTAAAGTTGGGTTTGCACTTTCATTTGAGAAATGTGAACAAGGTGGAGACAGGCTACAGGAGCAGAGTGCTATCTAGTGCACATTAGTGTAATGTAAATCATTTACACGTTATATTAGGAAGCCTAACGATTGCCATACTTGAAAGCAATTTTATAGGCCAGATATAATGAGAGTTCCAAATCTCGTGAATTAAAACACTTCTTGTCATGTCAGTGTTCTTCGTTTCTGCTCACAGCTGTGATCAAGATATTGCTACAGTTCCTGAGTATATTTTGCAACAGGCCAAAAATAGTTTGCACAGCACAAGAATATTTGTCATTTTAAGAAAGCAAACTGTTTAAGCAGTATTATTTCATATGTGTAGCCTTTTCACTCGTTTTACTCATCTCCAAAGGAGTTAATGCAAGACTAAGCAAATAAAGCTTATTATTTATTTAATGAAATCATGTTTAATATTACCTCAAAATAGATTTTATAAAATGAAGCATTTAAAAATTAATGTTCCATAAATATAATCCTCACAGTGAAGGGACACTCATAGCAACAGAGAGAAACCTGGAAGTTTGGGGTGCAGGATGGAAGACAAACATTAGGCCGGGTTTTAAGTTGACTGGTCACAGCAGAACTTTCATGCTAATGTTATCACAAAAGTTTTAGAATCTAAACAAATAATTTTATAGCCAGCTTGGGCTACAACATAACACAACTGCATTCAAACAGGACATTGTCATGGTGGTGAGAAACTGTTGGAAATCTGAAGATAATTAGTATGTCATCAACTACAGCTATAACCTCCAAATCGTTTGAAATTAATTGCCAAAAGTGAAATGCTAAAAATATATTTTTAAATAATTTTGAAAATAAATATTAACAAACAGCTGATGATGATATATTTCTTGAATAATTGCAGTGTAGAAGTGTGAACAAAAATACATATTAAAACCCCCACAATTTGAGGTTGCTAAATGAGAAGATCTGCTGGAAATCATTTAAAAACAGCAGCAGCAGGACTCAGATGACTGCTTGTAGAATACAATAATCTCAGTTTCTCAGTAAATGTAACGCATTGTAATAGCTGGAATTACATTTCTAATACACTTGCCTAATTCAACAGATTACAAATGAATCAGAATTGTAGACACAATAAACATGCTTCAACTCCAATTAATTTTAAAATTAAACCATGGACGTAGCATTTGTATTTTTAAGGTAGGGATAACAGAAAGTGGTTTGTTTGTGGGGGTTTTGTTTGGGTTTTATTATTTTAGTTGGGGTTTGCTTTGTATTTGTGTTTGTTTGGCTGGGGTTTTTTAGTACTGAAAAGTGATTCTTAGAGTGTGCAATTGAGGTTCTGGTAAGAGTGATGACAAATGGTGCTTTGGACTTCTTCATGTGAAGTTTCTGGCAAAGATATATCATTGTTTAGCCTGAGGTGGAAGGGATACCTTGTACTGAGCTGTGTAAAGAGAGTTTTCTAATATGCCTTTTGCAGTCATTTTTAAAAATATTGGACCTCTTTTTTTCTCCCACTCTTCAATACATGCAACATAATCTAAACTAATTGATCTGTTTCATCTTGGTAAAGTGCAATTGGGCTGTGCAGTTTTGGGCAGTTCGGTGACTGCACTTAGTATTCTTCTGGAGTATGTACACAGACACACAGGCTCAGCTACAGCAAAGACACAGTTCAGTATGTAGCAGCCAGCTACATACTCCATCTACATTTAGGGAGGGTTAAAACACATTTTGGGGGGACATTCCTCCGTATGAAATCGAGGTTGTTCTCTATTATATACACACTGTTGTGTTTCAAACTTGAGAAGTCACAAGCAGCTGTCAGTAAACATAAAACTTAGGTGATTTTTGCAAATGTTTGTTCTGAGGCAAGTGTAAGAGAAGGCTTTTTGTTTTGAAAAATAAAGGCCAAATTAGTATAGCTATAAATTGTCCCTTTGATTAGAAATGTTAATTGAAACTTTATTTAAATACTTTTGCCATTCATGTTCGGACTATGTAACATTTGTGTTCGTGTAATTTAAAAAATACTCTGCACTGAATTGTGTTACCCATAGAAAAATATTTGGAATAATAAGGAAACTACAGCCATCAGCCAATTTGCTGATGTATGTATAACAATGGAAGTAGATAAAACTGGGTCAGATTTTATCTGGTGATGCTGGTCTTGAAGTCTTACCATCTCCTGAGGTAGATATTAAGGCACTTTTTCCAGAGTGAGAGGGAGGAAATTTGGAAAGGTGTTTGTTTAAATTCTGTGTAATTAAGATATTAATATGCATACATCTAGCTGTTGAAAATTACTTTTCCTTGCCTAAGACAGAGGAAAAGCTACAATTCCAAAAACGTGTGTCATTAGAAAAAGAGTAAAAATAAACTAATTAATAAAGAGTATTAGTGCCATCTGAAAAATAGACTGAGTCCTGGGAAGATTTTCCTGATATCTCTCCTTCATTTGATTTGTTGTCTGCCAAACATAGACAAGCATATCTGTTGAC